GGCTCCCCGGCTCGGGCAGCGACTGGGCAAGAGAAGCGGCTCCACGAGCGCCGGGGACGCGCCCGACTGACGAAGAAAAGGGAAGTGGGGAGGGGGAGTAGGGCAGGAAGAGCCCCGGCGCATGCGCGCAGGCGCGAGCCTCTCCGGGCGGAGCCTCCTGATTGGCCGGGCGGACGGAGGGTGGGGGCAGGGCGACGAAGGGAGGCGAGCCGGAGAGGAAGAAAGCGGGGCGCTGCGCGAGCCTCCTCGAGGGGCGGCGCGCTCCCATTGGTCGCCCAGAACGTCCCCTCCGGCGGGAACGCCAGTTCTCATTGGTCAGAGATTTCGAGAACTGCCCTCCTGAGGTAACCCGCTTTCTGATTGGTCTGTGCTGGGTAGGGGGCGGGGCGCGCACCTTTCTGTTTCTCTGTGTTCGCGTACGCTCGGCAGGGGCCGGCGAGAAGGAACCAGGGGGTTCAGATGGCCCTAGTCCGGCCGTGATGGCCCGTCTAATTGCTTTTTCGATAGGACACCCGAGAAGCCGACGCTCCCGTTTCTGGGGCTTCTCCAGGCAGGACAAGCGCATCAGTCCCGCTGTGGCCACGCCCACCCGGCGTCTGATTAGAATAGCCACGCCTCGCCTCGTCGTGTGTCTTTAAAGGTCTTTGGTTTGCCGTGCATTACGCATGCTCCTTGAGAGGGGAGATGGAGGCATGCGCAGTACTGCGAAATGGCGCTCAGAATGGCATGATGAGGTTGGGCAGCCAGGCTTCTGTAACAGCGGCTGCAGAATTAAGCGACCAGTATATGAAAATGCAGTTATGCAACTTACTGGCCTAATGCATAGTTACATCAATGCGAGTCTATGAAAATTTTATAATGCCAGGAATTTGTGTGTGTTTTGGTTTAATCCAGCTGGCTGGTAACTTGATGGGACAGGAGCTGCTAAGGACAGAGAAGATGGAATCTGGCTTTGGTGACGGTTGCTGAGATCAGCCCCCTACCACCTGCTTCTCCAGACCGACTCCCATAATCCCCAGCCAGCGTGGCTTTTGGACCCCAGATTGGAGAAAGCTGCTTGAAACTCATATTGTTTGCAAATAGCTGAAAATCAGGCAAGGAGACAGGGAAAATGTGGAAGTGACTGCTAAAACAGAAGTAGGGCCAGAAAAACAGAAATGAAGGCAGGGGGTGGGCAGAGGCCCTTCGGTGATGAAACAGCTTCACTGGCCGCCTTTCCGACAACTAAGAGGAAGTGGTCCGAGAGGGGATCTGTCCTAAAGATGGAGAAAGAGCAGCTCTGGGCAGAAGGCAGACCGGCCCCCTTCGCTCAGAGGCTCAAGGAAGCGAGCCTGGTTTTCAAGGAGCGTTTGTGAACTCCCAAGTCTTCTGGGGATGGAGCGGCTGACAACACCGGTGGAAAAGCGGGTTATAGGACTGCCTCCCTAGGCTGGACCTCTTTGAGGGAGTCCTGTTGGGCAGTGAGCCTTGGGGCATCTCTTCTACGACTCGAAGCGTTTGAAAACCCTGTTAGAAAGTCAGTAGAGCAGTGTTCCTCAACCTCAGCAACGTTAAGAAGGGTGGACTTCAACTCCCAGGATCCTGGGAGTTGAAGTCCTCCCTTCTTAACGTTGCTGAGGTTGAGGAACCCTGCAACAGAGGAACGAATCCTAAAGCATCATCAGGACATCCTGCTTTATTGTTAGCCTACATCCGCTGCTCCTTGCTGGATGCAATCTTGGCTGGGGTGTGCATACGTGCAGACGCTACGGCCTGTCCTGAAGTCCAGGAATTGGTGGCGGGTGGACGGAGGTCATTATAAAGGGCAGGGCCTGCCCCCTCTTGATTGCACATAAACAACCGTGATAAAACCCACTCACCTGCGCACCGGCACTCGTTGCCTGCTCCGAGAGGGACCAGAACAAAGCTAACTGTCGAGAAGTCATAAGTGAAATCTCTGAGTTCAGCCTGGTGATTTCATAGGTGCTTCCTTGGTTAAAAGAAAAAAAAAAAACACTGAATCTCCCAGCCTAATTTACAGCCTGAGGATTTCCTCATGGTCTTCCCTCCAAGTCCTACAAGATCTGGCTCTGCTTCGGTTCGGAGATCAGCCAAAATGGGCTGGGTGTGGCCTCCTAAGACCAACACAACGAAGCCAAGGCAGGTGTGAATTGAATTTTCAATCTTGTGGGCGGAAAATTGGAAGAAGCAGAGGATGGAGAAGCGAGAGCAAAAATTAGTCTACATGCTTCAGACAAGAAGTCTGAATCTGGTACCATTGTCTCCGTTTAATTTGTTGCCTCCCCCCACTGCAAGAAATCAAAAAGTCCAATAAAATATTTGGCCTGAATCTCAAAATCCTTTCTTTGCCAATCAGTTCCATGCTACTGGGCAAGCCCCTTTTCTGCTAAGGTTTCCTCGGTCACCATGGCAGCAACGGAGGGCTGTTGCCAAGCAGCACAGAAAAAACACAACTTGGATCCCGGGGATGGGCGTGCTAAAATCCCGGCGCTTTTCCCAGCTCCGCTTCGACTGTTGCTGCAGCAAAGCGTTTGCGATTTTGGGGTGGAAAACCTCTGGCCACCTGCGAAGACTCCCTTGTTTTGCTACCAGGCGTGGAAAACATCTGGGCTGCTGCGCCGGTTGAAGCTGCAAGTAGCGCAGAGGTTGAATTCTTGCAGAAAACCAGGCGCGTTGCACAGGCTTAGTCTTCGGTTCCGGTTTCCTTCCAAAACCACACAAGGATGCCTTTTCCGAAGAAAAGAAAAGTGAAAAAGACAAAGAAGCAGAAGTCATCCGCTCTAGGTAAAGTTCGGTGCAGCCGTGCAAACCACCTCAGATTTCCAGGCAGACCTCTTTCTTCATTTTCCTCCCATGAGAATGCCTCCCTGGGTGTATTTTGAAAGGCTTGTAATGTTGACTTTAACTCAGCGCCAAGTATAAGGACCTCCGTCCTTCCTCCCTGCTTAGCCCTTCCTTGCTTTCATTCTCCCCTGCTCTCCCTACAGATGAGGAAATACCCAAAAAGGCAACGATGGAGGCCGACGCTCTTAAGCAGCACCTGGGTGAGGACGCTTTGGTGGCGTGCAAGATGTGGAAAGCAGAGAGCAAGCGAGGTTGCGTCGGTTCGGGATGGGAGGACGATGTGCGGACCCGTCTTGCTTTTCTGCACTGGCCTAATGCCCCAATAGGAAAGCATTTATGGAACCCACCGGTTCTGACCCAGCCTTTGGAAAGCGAAGCACTGTTCATTCCCACACATACACACAGGTTTTTCCCCATCACGTTATTCCAACAATTTGCCGGAAGCTGTGACATCTCAGCTAGCTCTGAGAGCAGTGAGGTTTGCCGTTGAAATAGACACAACTCCATATACAACTAGCATTGCAATATTTGCAAGAAAGGCCCAAATTGGGTGTCCGGTCAAGCAGGTTGGGGGTTGAAGTGAGAAAAGACTTCTGCTTGAGGAAGTGAAAGGTACAATGATCAGGAAGTCCTAGCAGTGTGGAGATATGTTCGTCCGGCAACCTTGAATATGCACATTTATCTGCCATTCTCTAAAGCAGCGTTTCACAACCTTGGCAACTTTTAAGATGGGTGGATGTCAACTCCCAGAATTCCCCAGCCAAGATGTTGATGGACAGCACAGCCCCAAGACACCTTTATATCATTTCTTTGCATCAGTGTTCCTCAACCTTAGCAACTTTAAGATGTGTGGACTTCAATTCCCAGAATTCCCCAGCCAGCCATGCTGGCTGGGGAATTCTGGGAGTTGAGGTCCACACATCTTAAAGTTGCTAAGGTTGAGGAACACTGATCTAAAGTGATTGTTACTCGCTTTTTCATCTATTCTGATGAAGAATATTATGTAACAAAGTCTGCATGTTTCAATGGAACAAAACATTAGTCGAAAAAGATATATATCCCTTCATTTTTATGCATCATGCTGATAGAGGATTCATCATTTTTACTAAGAAGCCAGAAACAGTGAGAATTTTTTTTTTTTAAAGCCTTAGTTGAATAGTGAAATGGCTTCTGCGTCCTTTTGCCCTGCAGTTCTCCAGAGGGACATGGCCAAGCAAGCAATGGCGGACAGGGAAGGACTCAGGCAGAGGCTGACAAAATTGGAGACAGACCTGGAAGAAGCCCAAAAAGACAAAAAGGATATTTATGAAGGTCAGTTTGGGGAGGTGGGTGGGACTGTACCCCTGGTGATTGCTTGCAGGAGCAATTCTTTCCTTCCAGAGGAATGGGGCTGGCTGCTTCCCCAGTTGGATGGAAGATGCCTTGATAGCTTAGCTTGTTGATTCCTCTGGGGGATCCACTTGCATCAAAATCTTTAGGGAAGCTCTCCAAATCAGAGGAGCTAGTGCTTCCTACAAACCCACATCTCTCCTACCAGCGACGTACAAAAATACGTGAGGATTTTTCTGAGCTTCAGAATGACCTTTCTAAGGAGTTCTTCAGTGCCAGCAATATCCTTTAATGTTGCACGGACTTGGGATATGTTCATTATTAGTACGGAGGCTATAACCCATTTCCCAGAGCCTAGCTATTGATGTGCACCTTTTCCATTTCTGCCCTCTTTAACTTTTAGTTTAGGGGTTAGAGTTATCCCCCGCTATACCTCAGCTTCTGTGAATAGATATCTATTACCGTCCCGTCTATGCATCTCACGTTCTAAGGAAAACTTCTTCAGCCTGGTTCATTCCAGATGGGTGGGTACGTTGAAGATCTTCCATCAACCCATTCCTACTAGCTAGAGGGTAGATTTTTGCTGATGGATGTTTGTGATGTAGAGCAGTGTTCCTTAACCTTGGCAACCTGAAGACCCATGGGGAGTAGAAAAGCAAGTGCCTCCTGCATGCCGCTCACTCCGCCCCCGCATGCTTCCGTCAGGTGGGTACGCGGGGGCGGGGGGA